AAATTGTTAAATTCCTCAAGTCAGCAGGGAGAAAAACAATTACTAACTTTTTACCTGACTTGATAAGTTAAGAGAATTTGTATCCAGCAGACCTACATTATAAGTATTACTAAAAGAAGTTCTTCGGGTGAAGGAAAATGATGCCAAACAGAATACATCTTGGGAAAGGAATGAAAAACACTAGACAAGAAAGATATGTGTAAATATAAAAGATCTTACATATATACATAATATAGTCTTACTTAGTTTGGGCTCCTGTAACAGAATACTATAGACTGGGTGGCTTATAAGCAACAGAAATTATTTCCCACAATTCTAAAGGCTGTAAGTCTGAGATTAGGCTGCCAGCCTGTCGGGGTCTGATGAGGGCTCTTCTGGACCACAGACAGCTGACCTCTCATTGTATCTTTATATGGCAGAAGGAGCACTAGGGAGCTCTCTGGGGTTCCTTTTTTTTTTTTGAGACGGAGCCTCGCTCTGTCATCCAGGCTGGAGTGCAATGGCGCAATCTCGGCTCACTGCAACTTCTGCCTCCCGGGTTCAAGCGATTCTCCTGCCTCAGCCTCCCGAGTAGCTGGGATTACTGGCACGCGCCAAGCCCAGCTAATTTTTGTATTTTTTAGTAGAGGTGGGGTTTCACCACGTTGGCCAGGATGGTCTGGATCTCTTGATCTCCTGATCCGCCCGCCTCGGCCTCCCAAAGTGCTGGGATTACAGGCGTGAGCCACCCTGACCGGCCCAAGGGTTCCTTTTAAAAGGGCACTCCTTCCATTCATGAAGTCTCCACCTTCACGACCGAATTACCTCCCAAAGCTCTGACCTTTTAATACCATCAAAAGGGGGTTAGGATTTCAACATAGAATTGGGAGGGAAGGATACAAGCATTCAGTCCAAAATTCCTAGGTTTAATATATATTGTTATATACGTTGTTTAAAACACAGTACTAACTTATGTGAATATACTTAACACTATTCAACTGTACACTTAAACATAATGAAGATGGTAAATTTTTAAAATCAAAATTAAACAATAAAAATAAATAAAAGCACTATTAACTAAACCAAAACTAATAACAATATATGTATTATAGTGTTATACATAGAAATAAAATATATGACAAGAGTATAAGGGCCAGGAAAGTGGGTTAAGGAAATTACACTGTTGGAATATCTTACGTTGTTCATGAGACAACAGATATGTCAAGAATGTCTATTGCAATTTCTAGAAAAACCACACAAACTCACACAAGACACAGAAGAGGTTAATAGAGGAGATAAAAAAGAAATGCTAAAAATATGTACACTTATACTAAATGGAATACTAAAAAATTACTGCATTCACCAAGGGGAAACAGGAAGAAAGACACAGGTGAGCAATAATCAGATGGGACAGATAGAAAACATGTACCAAGATGGTAGATTTAAACTCAACCCTGTAATATTAGCAATTACATTAAATGTAAATGGACTAAACAATCCAGTTAGTGGCAGAAATTGTCAGTCTGGATTAAAAAGAGAAAACATAGTCTGAACATAGTCTGAAAACAGAAGGATAGAAAAAGAGATGTAGATATATCATGTATATTAGCTATATATCACTGCAGGATAAATTACTCCCAAAATTTAGCAGCTAAAAATGACAAACATTTATTTCACTGTTTTTGTGGTTCAACTGGGGAAGTTTGGTTCCAAACTCACTCCCCAGGACAAGAGAGTGAGATAGAGAGAGAATACCTAATAAAAAGCTGTTGTTGTTTAAAAATTGATTTTACTTTTTACAGCAATATTAGGTTCACTGCAAAATCAAGCAGAAGGCCTATATTGGCATACCATTATCACCCAAAGTCTATAGTGTGCATTAAGATTCACTCTTGGTATTGTGTATTCTATGGATATGGACAAATGTATAACATGTGTCCACCTTTATAGTATCATACAGAAGAGTCTCACTGTCCTAAAAAATCCTCTGTATTCCACCTATTTATGCCTTCTTCCCCCGACCCCTAGTGACCACTGATCTTCTTTACTGCTTCCCTTGTTTTGCATTTTCCAGAATGTCATATAGTCAGAATCATACACGTTAGCCTTTTAAGATTGTCTTCTTTCAATTAGTAATTGTATTTACATTTCCTCCATGCCTTCATGGCTTGATAGCTCATTTCTTTTTAGCACTGAATATTATTTCATTGTTTAAATGTACCACGGTTTATTTCTTCATTCACTTACTGAAGGACGTCTTGGTTACTTTCAATTTTTCGTGATTGTGAATATAGCTGCTATAAACATCCATGTGCAGCTTTTTGTGTGGACATAGGCTTTTGACTTTTTGGGGTACATATCAAGGAGTGCAACTCCTAGATTGAATGGTTTTGTAGGGAATAGTCAAAGTGTCTTCCAAAGTGGCTACATCATTTTTAATTCCCACAAACAATAAATAAGGGTTCCTGTTTCTCCACAGCCTCATCAGCATTTGGTGTTGTCAGTCTTCTGGATTCTGGCCATTCTAATAGGTGTGTAGTGGTGGTTTTTAATTTAATATCAGAATTGTTCTTTTTAATATTAAAATTGATGTCTCATCACTATACTGCATTCTACCAAATTTGTCAATATTGAATCACTAATTCCAGTGGATATTCTAGGGGAGGAGATTAAACAAGAGTGAGAATACTGACATAAGGATTTTTGGGGGCCATCTTAGATGCTGCCCACCACACCATGCAAATCACCAAGCACAGGAAGGCTGATGTAGCTATATTAATATAAAAAAAAAGTAGACTTCAAGACAAACGCATTACTGGAAATAAAGGGATTTACAATGGTAAAATGGTCAGTTCATCAATAAGACATAATCCTAAAAATGTGTATTACAGAGCTAAAAACAGATGTCAAAATGCATAAAGCAAATATTGACAAAATTATAGAGAGCAAAGGATAAATCAGCAATCATAGTTTGAGACATTAACACCTTTCTCTCAGTAATTGACAGAGAAAGTAAACAAAAAGTCAGTAAGGCTATAGAAAATTTGAACAATACTATCAAATCTACCTGACTTGATTGATATTTATAGGAGCTACACCTACAACTGAACAATACACACTCTTTTCAATGTAGAAAGCACATAGAACATTCACTGAGATAGACCATTTGCAAAGTCACAAAATAAATCTCTCATGACAACAAAATTTAATTTGAAAGCAATAACAATAAGATATCTAGAAAAATCCCAATACTTTGGAAATTAAGAAATATAATTCTAAATAATTCATGGTCAAAAAAGAAATGGCAAAGGAAATGTGACAGTATGCTGAATTGGATAATAGTAAAAATACCACATACAAAAATCATGGGATGCAGTTAAAACAGTGCTAAAGGAAATGTGCGGCATTAAATGCCTACATTAGAAGAAAGAGATATGTGAAATAAATGATACAAGTTTCCAGCTTTAAGAAGCTAGAAAAATTAAAAACAAGAAATTTTAGAAAGCTAGAAAAAAAGAAACTAGAAAAGACTTAAAATTAAAGTCAGTAAAAGAAAGAAAATTATCAAAAATAACAGCAGAAACCAATGAAATAGAAAATGGACAGACAATAGAGAAAAATGGACAAAACCAAAAGTTGGTTCTTGAAAAAGATTAATAAAATTGATCATTTAATAAAATGATCAATCTGTAGCAAGGTTGATCAAGACAAAAGAAAGAAAACAAGACAAATTACCAATATCAAGAATAAAAGAGGAGTGATCACTACAGATCCTACAGACATAACAAGGTATTAAAAGGATATTGTAAAAACGTAAATGCCAATAAAGTTGACAACCAAGATGAAAAGGACAAACTTCTTGAAAAATACCACTTATCAAAACAGACAAAAGAAGGAACAGAAAATCCAAGTAACCATTAAAGAAATACTATTTTTAATAAAGTCTCCTCTCACACAAAACTTTCAAATTCACCTGGCTTCACTGGTGAATGCTATCAATTGTTTAAGAAGGAAATTATACTAATAATACTCAACCTCTTTCAGAAAACAGAAGAGGAGAAATCACCCCCAACTCATTTTATGACTCCAGCATCATGCCAATATCAAAATTTGTGAAACACATTAGAAGAAAATTATAGCTCAATAGCCCTCATAAATATTGATGCAAAAATTCTTAACAGAATATTAGAAAACCACATCCAGCAATACATAAAAAGAATATTTTATGAACAAGCAGTTTATGCAACCTTGGTGTAACATTCAAAATTATCCAATGTAGTTCACATTTTCAGAATATAGGAGGAAAATCGCAGACGTGGCTACCTCTGGTTAATAGGCTATTGCAAATTTCCCATGTTGGAAGAAATTAAAATTTACATGAAAAAATGAGATTCATTTGCATAAATTTACTTGTAGATATGGTAGTGTAAGATCTTGACCATTAGTTGTCATATAAGGTCTACTTTTACGGATGGTGATTAATAAATTCTTTTCAAATTTTTTTTTTATATTGCCTACCTCAGTTTAAAAACCTAGTCAGCTTTTGGTTGTATCTGGTGGTGTCAGCATTAGCCACACTCACAGCCAAACTCTATAGGCTTGGATGGCTACATCGGACCGGCAGTGAGGCGAGGGACAAGCCCTGACGTCCAAAAGCTGCTGGTGAGAAGCTGGTTAGCTTTTTACTTGCTATTGTCCTAAGCCTCGGTCCCAAGGTACTTGACTGAACACTGCTCTTGTCCCCAGTCCTGGAAAGTTTTAGGGTTTACTCCTCTTTGCTCAGGGTCCATTTCTTCATCCCTCTCCCTGTGTCTTCTGTAATTCTGGTGCATACACACACGTGCACATACACAAATTTACAAACACGCACACACATGGACCTATCTCATCTCTCTTGCTCTCGCTCTCTCCTTAGCACTCATTCTCCATTTGAATTTCTCTTTGGTCCCTATCTTTCTGTTGCTTGCCAACTGTCACTCAGGTACCTTCGAAAGCCAAGAAGTAGACACCAGTTTCTCTACCTGTTTCCTTCAAGATCACACACATAGGTCACCACTGGGGACCAGTCGAAGGCCTCTGGCTCTTTCTTCAGCCATTTCTCCAGCTCCTGCAGGTTCTGGTCTGAGTAGTCAGTGACAATGATCTCCTTAAAGGATTCACAAGCAGAGAGGAGCTGATAGATGGTGGGGCCAGAGCCGATGTCAATCAGCAGGTCTCCCTTCACACCGTCTGGGTTAGAGGAAGGAACAAACAAGAGAGGTCACACATCTCATGGCAGTCGGCAGAGTCAAATGTATATTGTCTTCCCTGGGATTGTGCTGGCGATCCTCAAAGACAGACTACTACTGTTCACAACTTTTCCCTCAAAATATGTTTTTAAAACATCTTTTCCAGGCCAGGCACAATGGTTCATGCCTATAGTCCCAGCACTGTGGAAGGCCACGACAGGAAGATCACCTGAGGCCTGGAGGATGAGACAAGCCTGGACAGCATCTGGCCTTTACAAAAAACCTAAAGAGACCTCATCTCTACAAAAAAAAAAAAAAAAAAAAAAAAAAAAAAAAAAAAAAAAAAAAAAAAAAAAAAAAAAACACCTAAAAATTAGCTGGGCATGGTGGCGTGCACCTGAAGTCCTAGTTATCGAAGAGGCTGATGCAGAAGAATCCCTTGAGTCCAGGAGTTTGAGACTGTGATGAGCTGTGATCACACCACTGCACTCCAACCAGCCTGGCAGCCTGGGCAACAGCATGAGACCCACATCTCCGTTAAAAAAAAAGTTTCAAAAATCCCTGTAATTTACACCATAGTGACAAAGAAAATGTAAATATCAAAAACACTAAAAATGTCTCACTGGAATTAAAGCCCGTCAGTTTATAAAACCTCAAACATTAATAAAATGAAAAGTCAAAGAGAGAAAAAAAAATCTTTTCCAGGGTGGAGGCATGTTGCCAGGAATATTAAGGTCTAGGAGAAGGTAAAAAAGATCTACATCTGGTATACAGACTGAACACCAGATCCAGAAAAGCTAATACAGAGGGAATGTAAAAACTATTAAGCAATATTTTCAAGGAAAGTAAATTTTTTTAAAATTGACTTTATATAATGTCATTCTTCAAAAAGCACCTGGTTCTTCCTATATTGAAAGGTCTTTATCCCATGCATATTCACAGCATTCCCTTGAATTAGGATCAGAATAGGCACTGTTTTAGAATTTCCATTTAAGTGGCCCTTTGAGGCTAAAAGCCGCCTAGCAAATCAAGGTACACTCAGGACAGCACTCTGGCTCTCTGGTGTCCTTTTGCGTGACCAAGTGAGACAGTGGATACAAAAGCACTTTGTAAATGGTGGAATCCCTATACCAATATTAGTTTTTGTCCTAGTTAAATAAATGGGTGATGTCAAAAGGGCTGTGAAGCAACAATGATTGACACAAAACCCAGTCCTGCCATGAGACTCTGTCTATATGACTCACATTAGTGGGGAGACATGTGGACAACACACTTACCTAGGTAGAATATCTTGAAAAGATTTTTCAGAAGGTGCTTAAGAATCTGGCTTTCTGCAGAGTACCTAGACCCAAACTTGTAATATTTTTCTAGGTAATCCCGAGGGTTAAAATGGCTTAGGTAAGTGTCCTTGGAGGTGAAGCCTGATTCCATTGTGTCTCACTTCTGTGCCACTGGACTGCTGCCCTCTTTCTCTCTCCTCCAGAAGCCAGGGAGTCACCCTGCAGAAGTTGTCTTCCTGAGTCTCAGGCTATCAGTCTTCCTTCCATCAGTTCAGCCCATCCTTTAGAACAGATGTTTGGTTAAACACTAACAGAGAAATAGAGAGCAAATGTTCTGGCTATTCTGGGAAGTGATGAAATTCCTGGAAATGGAGCCTAGGCCAACAGTGGTGAGGATGTGGTAAAGGGAGGGCTATGAGTTGTATACCATGCTTGGCCAAGGGGTGAAGGTCACCTGCCAGGGGCGTAGACCAGAGGGAGCACTTGGGCTCACCAGGAAAATATTTAATGCATAGGACCTCAACATTCAGAGACAGGCTATCTCCTAACAAGCACCATCTTTCTTCTCATTCTTGCCATGATTTCCCCAGGAAAAGGACTCACAAACAATAGTTTAAACAAGTAAAAGAAAGAAAAAAAGGGGGAAAAGATGAGGATAGGAAATGTATTCAGGGCTAAGGAATGTTGGTTAAAGGAATCTCAGATGAAGCCTGGAAAGAGTAATTTAAAAAATCTAGATAAGGCTTTCTGTAAAGTCTAGTCCAGCCAACCATCCTGAAATCCTCTCCTCATGCTCAGAGCCCCTCTCCATCCTTGCCCTAGGTATCTGCAGCTTTACCCGCCACGGCCATGACCCAGTGTCTGGCAAGTCCCTCCTCCCTAAGCCTCTCCACTCCTGTCAGTCAATCCAAATCCTGACAGTTCTTTCAAAGTTAACCTTACTTCCTTTAAGAATTCTTTAAATCCCCTTTTCTGAACTCATTTTGAGACAGAGTAGGGATGGGGCTTGGCTTCAGCTCACTCCCCACTAAAGCATTCTTTCATGCATTCCCACCGATCACAAAACCCACACCACTACCTTCTTAGGAAATAACCAATGTTGCGGGGTGTCCCACCTCAGGAAGGAATCCTGAGCAATTGATTTACAGCCTTTCTGCCACTGGCCAGACCACCAGGTGGCCCATGCCTCAAGATAACCATTGCAACCAAGTAGTGCTGACCTGCACACCCTACATCTAATGTCCTTTGCCCAGCACAGCCTGCACACCCCACTCCTGACGTCAACTCCTGTGCTTTGCCTAATAAAAAACATCCTTACTGGTTCTTTTCAAGAAGTCAACAAGCCAGAGAATTATCTCTTTTGTTGTCTCCCTTATGCTTGGGCATAAGTTCCAGTAAAGCCTTGTTTGGGAAGACTATTGACCTTGTGTCAATTTCTATACACTGAGAGCCCAAGAACCCATGGCCAGTAACATTGGTGCCTTAGAATTTGTTCTACCCAGCCAGGCACTTGATTTTTTTTTTCTTTTTTCTTTTTTTTTGTTACTATTTATTTTTCTTTTTAAAAACTTTTTGTGGATACATAGTAGGTCTATATATTTATGAGTTACATGAAATATTCTGATACAGACTTACAATATAAACTAATCGCATCAGGGTAAATGGGGTACCCACCATTTCAAGCATTTATCTTTCTCATTACAAACAATCCAATTATACTTGTTTAGCTAATTTTGAAGGTACAATTAAAATTTTTTTTACAATATTCACTCTTTTGTACTAGCAAATACTAGGTCTTATTCATTCATTCTAACTTTTTTTTTTTTTTTT